CCCCCCCGGCCGTCGCTGCCTCCGGTCCCTCGGTGCTCCTGCTGCTCCTCCTGCTGTTGCGCCTCCATCTCCAGATCGGATCACGGTGAGGGAAAGATGAGCGAGGAGACGGCGACTTCTGACAACGAGTAAGCGCCTCATTGATCTTGATTACTACCCCCTACCCTTCCTCCGCCGCCCCCCACACCCCTCCAAGACTTGGGTGCCCGAAAGCTTGCAGCCCTGGAGAGTTCGGTGCATCTTGTTCTGCAGATAATATTTGATTTCTTTAGCCATTTAATTTCATGGCAGCTCTCACTCCCCCACCCCCATTTAGTTGCTTCCTTCTGGGGAAGGGTATTGAGGGTTGGGGTTGGATGGCAGTTTTATGTCCGGGAGATCGAGTGGTGTGGGTGGATGGATGCAGGCAGGGTAGAAATGACCCCTTTGCCTGGAAGACCTTTGGCCTGTCCTTTTTCACGGGAGCGTGCCAATCAACATATCCCGAATATCCATCCTGTTTCCTTTATAGCTATTTCACTTGGAAACGAATGTGTGGGAGCACCTCCTGCAGCAAACTGCTCTTGAATCTTAATTCGATGAGTCAGTGACTCTTAAATACAGATTAAGCCTCTGCCCCCTCCCCTCCTTTTTTAAACTTATGACCTGTAAGATTCTTGTAAAAAATGGGGCCAGGGGGACATGTTTAGAATTTAATGGGATTATGGACGCCTGGAGTGTGGGAGCTGTTGAACCATTCTATTTTGCCTTTGCGAACCTTGGACATGTGTTTATCAGGTGCATAGAAGAATTTCGAATGCTAATTTTTTGTTCTTCAGCTATGTTAAAATACACCTTTTACGTTGGTTTAACACTACTTACATTGCTGAATATGTTGATGACTTCATTGATGAACTTCTAGAGCAGCCTGGTTAAAGTTTTTATTTATGTGGGCTGTCCTTCTGTTTTTCAAGCGAAATACTTTGCCTTTTACAATATTTTGCTTTAACGTAACAGCTGCTTGGAGAAGTATTGGTACGCTGACAGTTTTCTGTTGAGACTGGATTTAATTTCATGCAGGATATTAGCTTCCGTTTTCTTGTAATTCAAGTTTTGTTTATCTTTTGAGGGTTGGAAAGAGTTAAGTGAGTTACGGCTAGTCCTAGGATGCATTCCTTTAAATAAAGTGCATTCCTCGAGTCAGACCTCTTTTGAGAGAACTTTAATAAAAGTCCAAAGCCTAGGCCTGTTTAACATAAAATAGCTTGAGAAATGCCAAGCAGCGTTTTTCCTTCCCCTCCCTCCCCCCAGCACACTCTTCCGATGAGCGGGTGTGGGAGAAGGTAGATTGCTGCAGTGTCAGTGCTGTCGGGAAGCAGAAGTGGCCGCCATGTTCTCTCTTTTTTTTTGTGAATCGCCCTCATTTGCATAGCACACTCTTCATTCATAAAAAAATAATTAAACATCCATCACCTTGGACATCTTGAAAGGATTTCCCAAGAAAAAAATTCGAAGCTTGATTGTCTTCACGTAGATTTTTGAGTTTAGAAAGTAAGGAAAATTCGAAGTTTTAGGTTAAATGCTAAAACATACGCACACACAAACAACTACCCCTGTTCTCAGAATGTTGACACAGTTATGTGGGAAATATCAGTTCGGGGAGGTGCTGGGATCACGTGATCGCCTCCATTCATAAAATACCTGGCTGTCCATTCACAGTGCAGTACACTGTCTCACTGCCTTCCGCAGATTAGACCTACTTTGAGCGAGATCAAGAAGTACTGTATCTCAGATAACGCCTAGTTAGGAGAATAACTGCTGGAAATTCTGAACAGAATGACGATATTTTTTGTGTCTCTTCAGAAAGCTTGGATCAACATGTCAAGTTCATTTTAGGGATAGGAAAAGACTAATTACCATATTTAAAGTGAAATATTTAATACCTCAGCTAATAGAAAAGCAAATGAGGGGATGTGGATTGACACACGTGTATAATAGTTTCTAAATGTCTCTTTCTGTAATACTTGCCATGAACAAATTCAGAGCAAGTTTTTGGTGTAGTGATGTCAGTGGATGATTTTGCTGTTACACGAAAAATGAGTAAATATTCCCAGTGGTTTAATCCCAAAGATGTTGATATTTGAAACACAAAATGGCAATTTTTACTGAGAAGGTTGCTCCTCTCTCTCTCTCTCTCTTAAATTTTAAATGTACTTAATGTGGGACAATTTGGAAATAACCTCACTCACCCATATTTTTGGAATTCTGTTTTCACAGATATATCCTGCTTTATTAATATTATTCCCCTAGGGGGTTTGTTAAGCTAGTTTTTGTAGGACAAAATTAATATTTTAGCATATAATATTTTGCTATTAGATCTTAACTCTTCATGGGAACAAGCTCTTGGGATTTTACTTAACATTTTTTTTTTTTAATATTAAAAAGTGATGTGTTCATCCGGTAATCAGTTTTATTAGGGCCAACACTGTGCATTAGATAAACCACAGTAAACTTGTTTGGAACGTAGCTTTTATTCTGGTAATTTATTTATCTCATCTTTAATATATAAAGTAATGTTTTGAAATGGCAACTTATTATTTAACCATATATATATTATGAAGATACAAGAAATATGTAATGGCCGATGCCCTTGAAGGTTTAACATAGTTTAAAACTGCCTTGTAATGTGGAATTTATTTATAAAATCCTTATGTATATTTTTTCTTTCCTCAGTTTTTTTCAGTCTCAATTAACAGGAATTTAATTACAGTAGAGATTATTTTTAACACTGGAATGTTTTTACACCTAATTTCAACCATTAGAAAAAAAAAAGTAATCGTTTCTAGGCCTTTCGGCTAAGATCAAGTGTAGAAAAAAAGTGAAAATCACCAATATCTTGAGAAACCTTAATCTTTTCTAGCCATTGTAGTAAAATACAGTATGGCCTTTGCGGCCTCATGTTGAAATCCTCTATTATGTGCTTTATTATTTGAAATAAGAGTTATGTATAGAGAGATAGTTAGCTCTCAGGTTGATTGTGGATATATATTGAATTAAGAATTAGTGAAGGATCTACTATGTGTAAGACTTTGTCTTATGCAATATCAGATTTTGGGAAGGGTTGGTAAAATTCTACTTTTCTTCAACTTTAGTAGGAACTGGAACTGAGTTAAAAGTGCAGTTTAAAAAAATAATTCGTTCCATGCAGGAGTATTAGTTTATTTCAGATAATGTACAAAATGGTCTTGAAAGTGAAAAAATAATAATGTATTTGCAATTCTACTACAAATATAATGTCTTAATATTTTATATATAAACACACTTTTCCTATGATATGCATAAAGCATATTCACTTACTGGATTTTTTTTACCATGTTCCAAGAACTGTGATAAATGCTTTACTCATGTATTATATAATTTATGTATATACATCTATTTTCAGCAGAAATGGAATTGCGTAGTGGATACTATTATAACTTAATATATTGTGAATATTTTCCTGTGTCATTATATTCTAGAATATAATTTTAATGGCTACATTATATTCAGTATGTAACATACATTAGTTTAAATCAGTCTACTATTTTTGGATATTTCTAAACAGTGCTGCTTTTGATCCTGAATTCTGTCTGTATCCAAATATATTACTTTTTCCTTGAGATAGTCTAGGAATGGGGTTAAAAGATGTAAGTTAAAAATTTTTTTATTCCTGCCAAATTGCCCTCTAGAAAAGAATAACTCAGTGTATCAGAGTGCTTATACCTTGAAATGTCTGTCCAGTTCTCTTAGAAATAAATTTTTGCCATTAAAAAAAAAAATTCTCACCTAAGGATATTTTTTTATTGATTTTGAGAGAGAGAGAGAGAGAGAAAGAGAAAGAGAAAGAGAGAGAAAGAAAAAAAAAGAAAGAGAGAGAAAGATGTGAGAGAGAAACATACATTGGTTGCCTCTCATACCCACCTGGACCCAGCCAGCAACCTAGGTATGTGCCCTGACTGGGAATCTAACCTGCTATATGGGACATTTCTCCAACCACCTGGGCCACCTGGCTAGGGCAATTTTTGCCAAATTGAATGAGGAAATGAGATCTTGTGCCTATTTTTAAAAGGTGCTGGATGGTAAAATAAAATTGATATTTGAAAAAACAAAAAACTTGTGAGGTTGTTTTTGGACAACTGGACTAAAACAAAATACTATATAATAAAATAAATAAAATTACAATGTATGTGATCATACAAAAGTCATCTGCAGATTATTTATTTAACCATTACCAACCTTTATGTAGTAGGGTATAGTGTAAAGAACATTGGACTTGGAACTGGGTGATGCAATGCTGTCCTAACTGTCACTAATTTTTTCTGTGATTCTGGGCAAGTGACAGCTTCTGTGGGCCTCAGTTTGCTCACTTGTAAATCAAGGTATTTGAACTGAGCATTATTATGGCCCCTTCCTGTGCTAAATCACCCTAAAGTAATATGGTGGTAGAAATACTGCAAGTCACTAGCCTTGTAACGTACAAATTTGTTAATTAATTTTATTATGTTGTTTGTGAAATATTGAAGCAAATGAAAGAAAGACTTCTAGTAGAGAGCTGGTAGGGTGATGAATTAAAAGCATGAATTTTGATGAACCAAGATAAAAATTTTGGAAACAATTAGTATGTTCAGAATCTTTTAAGATTTTATTTTGGGCTTTTAATAACCCTGTGTCTTTGATAATATATATACATCACAGATGGAGAACTTTTTAATGCCCTTTTTAAGCCTCCTTTTAAGGCTATTGGGTTTAAATACCAACTTGAGTATTTCTAAAAGGAAGACTTGTACTAACAAGGTACCAACCCTTGTGTTTTAATTGTCCAAGAGGTGCCAACAAATTAAGTCTTTTCATTTGCTTTTTCATACAAATCGTGTTAATTTAATACTAAGAGGTAATTTAATTCATTTAAGGAGCTAATGCAGATAATGAAATTTTTTATTTTTTTATTTTTTTATTGACTGACTAGAGGCCCAGTGCACGAATTCGTGCACAGGTGGGGGGTGGGGTCCCTCGGCCTGGCTGGCGATCGGGCCGATTGGGGTCCGTCTCACCCAGTCCCGATCACGGTGGGCCAGCTGGCGGGGAAGCAGGGGAGGGACTGCAAGAGGTT